TTCATCTATTGAGGGACACTTAGGTTGATTCCAGATCTTTCCAATTATAAATAGTTCTGCAATGAACATAATGATGCAAGTATTCATCTGATATACCAATTTCTTTTCCATTTGATAAATACTCAGTAGTAAGATTGCTGAAACATACGTAGTTTCTATTTTTAGTTTTCTGAGAAAACTCTATACTGTCTTCATAATGGTTGTACTAATTTACATTCCCACTAATAGTGTATGAGTTCCCTTTTCTCCACATCCTTGCCAGCATTTATTTTTTGTCTTTTTGATAGCAGCCATTCAAACTAAGATATGATAATATCTCATTGTGGTTTTGATTTGGTTTTCTCTGATCATTAATGATGCTGATTGCATACATCTGTTGGCCATGTATATGTCTTCTTCTGAGAAATGTCTATTCAGATCTTTTTCTCACTTTTTAATGGGATTATTTGCTTGTTTTTCTGCTGTTGAGTTGCTTGAATTCCTTGTATATTCTGGATATTAGTGCCTTGTCAGCTGAATCGTTTGCACATATTTTCTCCCATTCCAAAAGCTGTCTTCCTTCATTCTGTTGATTGTTACCTTTGATGTGCCGAAGCTTTTTAGTTTAATATAGTCCCATTTGTCTATTTTTGTTTTTGCAGACTGTGCCATTGAGGTCTCAGCCATAAAATCCTTGCCTAGATCAATGTCCTGAAGTATTTCTCCTATGCCTTCTTACAGTAGCTTTATACTTTTGGGTCTTATGTTCAAGTCTTTAATCCACCTTGAGTTGATTTTTGTATGTGGTGAGAAGCAGGGATCTTGTTCATTCTTCTGCATATGAATATCCAGTTTTCCCAGAACTATTTATTAAAGATGATGCTCTTTCCCAAATGTATTTTCTTAGTGTCACTGTCAAAAATCACTTGGTTGTAGATATGTGAACATTTGTGTTCTCTATTCTGTCCCATTGGTCTGTGTACATTTTTTTATACCAATAACATGCTATTTTGGATACTATAGATTTGTACTCTATTTAGAAGTCATGTAGTGTGATGTCTCCAGCTTTGTTATTTTTGACCAGTATTGTTTGGGCTACTCAGGTTCTTTTGTGGTTCCATACTAAGCTTAGGATTTTTTTTCCTATTTCCATGAAGAATGTCATGGTATTTTGATAGGAATTACACTGAATCTGTACATTGCTTTGGGCAGAATGTAACAGTTCCATTTTAACAGTGTGTGATTCCAGAATGTCTTTCCATTTGTTTGTATTTTCATTAAGTTCTTTGATCACAGAATATCTATTTATATGTATTTTCACTAAGTTTTTTGATCAGTGTTTTGTAGTTTTCCTTGTATAGGATTTTCACCTTCTTTGTTTTAAATCTATTCCTTGCTATTTTATTTTTTTAACTATTATAAATGAAACTGCTTTCTTTATTTCTTTTTCAAACAGTTCATTATTGGTATATAGAAATGCCACTAAGTTTTGTATGTTGATTTTATATATTGTAACTTTACGTAATTTGTTTGTCAGTTCCAAGAATTTTTTATTGGAGTTTTTAGGATTTTCTATACATAAAATTATCTAAGAACAGGCATTTGACTTTCTCTTTTCCAATTTAGATGCCTTTTATTATTTTTCTCTTGCCTGATTCTCTGGCTGAAACTTCTAGTACTATACTATGTTGACTTTTAAACTTGATTCTGATTCTGAGAGATGAGAAGAGGGAAAAAAGTGTGTGTTAATATGTGTGTGTGTGTGTGTGTGTGTGTGTGTGTGTGTGTGTATTTTTAAAACTTCCCAGGTGACTCTTGTGGTATAAAGAGAAGAATTCCTAGAGGACTACTGAGGTTTCTCGTATTTGTAAATATGCCAGGAATTGAGACTGTCCAGGACAATTCAGAAAATCCTCAAGACATCTAAGATTTCATTAGCTATGGGGAAAATAGTCCCCCAAATGCACTGTATACTTTTTCAGTTGTCTAAAAAATGTATAAAGAGGTAAATTATGTCACATTCTTTTAGAAACAAACATAGAGCATGCCATCAATATTCAATCACTTTAAACAGCTTCCAAGTGGGAATAATTCCTGCTGTATACAACGAATACCTAGTCTCACTGAAAGTGTCACGTTGAATTCCTACGACATTATTGCTATGCTGACTACACAACTCATTCACCATTAAGTCTCTCACTAAGTCCTAGGAGGCACCAGTTCTCTTCTAGAATTAAACCTTGTTTATTGCTGCAGTGTCACCTGGACTTGGAATGGAAGCAAACACTAAGTATTGGAAGTATGATAAATGTCCATGGGAAGAGAAAAAGGACACAAAACTTGAATAAGAGCTGCTAAGACACAGTTTTGTGGAATACAGACCAGTTATTGAAAACCTGCAACCTAGAGACTTCTCTGCCTATAACCATTAGTAAATAAGGAAAAATAAAGTATAGTGGAAGAGACAGAACATACAGAACAAAAATGGGACAAAAATCACCAATGACAATGGCCTGAGGACAGAGAACACAGTGGTGCTTTAGGAGCTTTTTTTCTTTATTTCCACTAACAAAAGTTTTCACTAATACTTGCCCATGACTAAAGACACACAGAAGGTTGGTGAGAAAACTGAACAAGGATAGCAAAAGCCCAGTGATATCATGCCTCTTTGAAAAGGTTCAGTCAGTTCTCAGTCCTATCACTAAATTTGTAAGTCAGGAAGTCAAAGTTAGATCAGAGGACCACCTGACTTCCACTGTTACTGGTAGATTTCTGAGGTCTTCAGAGACAAAGGTCTCACTAGATGGGCTCTCTACAGATGTCCAGGGACAGATTGGGAAACAGGGATGAAGACGTATTGTGTGTTGATTTGAACCCAGTCAACCCTAAAAAGAGAATATATGAATGTATAAATGAATGGATTTGAGATTTTTCTTAATATGAAAAAAGAGTAAAATTGTGTTCGTGCTAAAATACTAATACATATTTAGGGTTACACGTGAATGCAGAAAACATTAATAAGACAAGTATTTTCATCTGTTAAAATGTCGAAACCAGCCTGGGCAACTTGGCAAGACCTCGTCTCTACAATAAATAAAAAATTAGCCAGGCATGGTAGCACGTGCCTGTAGTTCCAGCGACCTGAAAGGCTGAGGTGGAAGGATCACCGGAGTCCAGCAGGTCAATGCTGGGGTGGCCGTGAGTGTGCCATCACACTCCAGTCTGGGCAGCAGAGTGAGACTCCAACTCAAAAAAAAGTTTATTCCCAATCTAACTACTAAAAAATCTATCTATGTCAATAGATTTAAATTTTTAAGAAAAATAAATAGTCAAAATATTTTAAAGAAAAGAAATACACCAATAAAACAAAAACCACAACAAAAAAGGAGATATATGAAATATCAACAGACTATAAGTACTACATTGATTCCATTATTTATTTTTTTAAAATGTTTTCTCTGAGTTCCTATAAGCGCCTACATTTTAAAATTGTATACTAACTGAACACCATAAAAATCTCTCATTGTTAATGATACAAATATTTTATATACACCTATAACTTATTTAAAAAAATTAAAAACTCAATAAAAAATGGGCAATGCAAAAGAAGAAACAACTTATAAAAGCATAATGACAAATGGTCCTGGAATATGTGAAAAGATACTCAATGTCACTAGCAGTCAAGAATATGCCAAAGTAAAAGACATTCCATTTTTACCGATAATAATGGCAAAAATTAAAATGTCTGGTTTGAGTCAATGCTAGTGAGAGTAAGGAAACACAGTCCTCCTATCATTTCCAACCTTGTGGGTAAATGTTCTGGTCAAATTCATTAATACAGAAATTGTATCTCCACTTAAAGAAAGAAAATTAATCATAACTAGGTAGCCAAGAGAAATAAAAGTATAAAATTGTTATACTAATACTTACTCTAAAATCATTTATAATAGCAACATGTTGGAAAAAACCCAAAGGTCTATGACTAAGGAACAGTAAAAAAAAAAAAGTATGATATATCCATACTATGGGATAACATACAGTTTTAGAAAGACTGAACTACACAATCATATACTGATTTAAAACAATATCCAAGATGTATTATAAGTGAAAAATCTTACATAACATATATATTATTTTAATCAACACACACTCATGCACGCATGTGTGCAAACACACAGGCACGCGCGCACACACACACACACACACACACACACACACACACACACACACACACACACCATGGGAATGTAGACCTCTATAAGCAAAGGATAAGTGTTTTAAAAAAAAAAAAAAGCATGATATATTGGTTTAGACAATGGACTGGAAGAAACTGAGACGAGTAATTTTACTTCAAATATATCTATAATACTTAACTGCTTATCAGGGTCATGAAATGTCGTCGATTGAATGACAAAATGTAAGCACAACATTACCCTGTATTAAAATATAACTCTGACCTCTTCTAATTCCCTGACTTATGCCAAGAAGGAGTTTCCTGTTTTAAGCTTGAAATTTTGAAACAAGATGACTGCAAGGTCAAATCATAGGAAATATTAGTTCTTCAGATACAAGGAAGTGAAATTTCTAGCAAAAAATATGAAAAAGAGCAGTAGAAAGTGATCTGCTTGCATCCACAAACGAAAAGACATGTGCTACCATAACATTGTTTGAGATCAGAATGATGCTTTATGTTGAAACCAATGGGCACCTCAGCATGGTTTCTAAACGAGAGTGAGATGCCTCTACTGACAGCAGTTAAAATAGGAGTTCAGTGGCTCTTGCTCATCATTCATAATGTTTCTCCATGAAGACAAAATCAGGTCTATAACAATAACACTCCAATGAAAGTATTTAGTGTTAAAACATGGCTTCCAACATCTAAACTGAAGCAATGACAATGGTTCACTTTTCTTTACGTAGTATTTTGTGTTTAATTAAACATGCTATGGTAGAGATGTTATATTTCAACTCAAAAAGTGCACAACAATGTTAATTCTTGGCTTAGAAAGATGTTTTCCTACCTTCACATTATCTGGATGCAGCCCCCCAGGGTGCTTGTCCATGTACTGACATAAATCAGTGTGCTAGAAGAAAAAGTGGAAAATGTATTAATAACCCTCCGGCTATCACATGATAAATCAATCTTTTCCTACTTCAAGGTCACCATTACCTTCTGAACAAAGCAAATCAAAGATAAGTAGGTGAATTTTTTAGTGTATGCTGTGGCATGCTCCCCTTTCCTTCCAAGATTAACCACAACTGAATCATCATTTTTACCTCTAGGCTCTGTTTTATGCTAAACATATCTGCATACTAAAAAGAATACATGTCCATAATTTGTTAAATATCTAATTTCTTCCTCATTAAATATATATCCCTATACTTTAACTAAAAAGCCATACAAAATTAACCAATCCAATCATAATGTCAATTATCTCATATTTTCCAAATGCACAGGCATATTATGGTTATTTGTAGTACTTTCATAAAATGACACTACAAATATATTATGCTAGCAAAATTATTCACTGCACTTACTTTTCAGATCTATATCCACAAAAGTAATTTTCAGGTTTCCAGAACTCCTGAACATCTTTGAGTTTTATAAATTAATAGAAATACTTTCAAAATACATCCAGATATAAGTTAAAAATAATATTCTTAGGTAACATCTCATACAGTTAGTCTTTTAAATATGCCAAGCTCAATCTGCCCACAATTGTACATTTTCTTCAAAATGCTTTTTCCGTTTATATTATAAACTACAGAGCATCTTCGAAACACATGCAAAGTTACTATTTACATTTTTCATTTCTTATTGGAGGGTACTATAAGATTTGTAACACTGAAATATTTAATCACTCTGTAAAAGCCAATTAACATGAGCACTTGTGTCCCAATATCAGGCTTGAAGTACTGGGGAATTCCAGGTTTTATAATGCATGTAAGAAGATTGCTATAGCTCTTATTACAACAGTTTAGATTCTGTTACTGACTTGTTATTGCATACCACGTAGGAGGCATCGCGGACAGACAGGAGAACCTTACCTTCATCCATTCATCATGTACTTCTTAAGCCCTTATTAAGCTCCAGGAACTCCCCTAGTCACTAAGGACGCAGAAGTGAATGAAACAGAGGCAAAAGGAAAAAAAAAATATGCCAGCAATGACAGTAAAGTATGCTGTGTATTATTTTAAGCACAGTACTGGGTAATGTTCTAGTACCTGCTAATAGTACCAAGACACAGCAGGGGTATCCTAATGTGGTCTAGAGATGCCAGAAAGGCCTCTGGAGAAAGGCACTTCCAAGTAAGACATGAACAGAAGATTAAAGAAATCAATCAAATGATGGGTATAGGGAAAGAACACGGAACAGATAAAATGCTCTTAGATACATCGGAGACAACACCGACTTTATCTTGAAATACACCCAAGGTGTTCAGCTTCTAAGCAAGTTAAAGTCCATGAGGGCCAAGACTAGCTTGATTTTTTTGCCTCTCTCCACTTCTAGCAAAATGTCAGACACAAAGAAAAAGAAATGAAATAAATACAATAAAAAGTTTTATAATACAGGGCAGCTCATTTTTTAAAGCCTAATTTATTTAAAAGTATATAAAGAATACTATCTAAATATTTTACTTCATGCATTTATTGGACGGAGGTATAAATATGAACCCCAAACTGCTATTTTGAAACTTTATATTATTAACTTTGCTTTTCAAGTAGGGATAACACTACTCTCAAAGATGAACAAATAGAGAACAGGAGAACATATGTTTTTGAAGAGAGTATATGAGAAAGTACCTTTTGCCTAACATTTGATAAATAAAAATAAAATACTGCCCGTTAGACAATAATATCCTAGAGAGCAAGAATTGTATATAACTTGCTAAGTGCTACAAACACAATGGTAAATGAAAGCAATATCCAAACATATCAACAATCACATATCCATGTGTTAAATTATTAAAAATATAAAATTTCAGTTTATACAGTAAAGACAATCTAATTAATAGTTTCCCAAATACAAATTAAAAACTATTAAAAAAACCCAGAAAGTCTGAGACTAACAATATTTTATAGTATATGTTGATATTATCTATATTTTCTTATGCATACTAATAAATATCAATAAAAAGGAATTAGATATATCAATGTAAAATCAAGCATAATAAAAAAAATATATCAGAGGTGAGTGGATTGCCTGAGCCCACGGGTTCGAGATCCGCCTGGGCAACTTGGTGAGACCTCATCTCTACAATAAATCAAAAATCAGCCGGGCGTGGTAGCGCGCGCCTGTAATTCCGGCTACTTGGAAGGCTAAGGCGGAAGGATCGCCAGAGCCCAGCACGTCGAGGCTGTGTTGGCCGGGAGCGGCCACTGCACTCCAGTCAGGGCGACAGAGTGAGACTCCAACTCAAAAAAAAAAAAAATCAGAAATCAAGAAATATATATTCATGATGGCGCCAGATTCGGTCAGAGTGTAAGAGTCTCTGCATGGGTGAATGCATAAAAAAACTAATCTACACATGTTTGTGTGTGCAAGTGGGTGAGCGAACGTCCAAATGAGGGGAGACACGGGATCAAGCGCCTGGGGCCCCCTGTAGAAATGGCTACAATTTGCCGCTGCTCTAAATTTGGCACCTACAGCTCCCAGAAGGAGCCACCAAGCGTGGGGCATCTCTTGGGAAAAGGCAGAAAAGATCAGTTGGCACCTGGCCCACACCACCACCTGTAGCAACAGGCCAGGCACGGGCAGCAGGGACCATGGAAAAAGCTCGGGAAGAATTCTGGAGCTGAGCTGTGTGTGTGTTTGGGGGGGGGGGGGGGGGGGGGCACTGACCACTGCCATTTTCTCAGTCCCCAGACTGGGGAGAGACCTGATTTACCTTGGCCAATTCTGAGCTGGCTGAACAGTCTGTATCCTGAGACCAAGAGATGATTTCCACACCCCCTGAAATCGGACATTGTTTGCCCAGAGAGGACACTCCCTGCCGGAGGGACAGACGTTCCACCCCCACACTGGACCAAACACAGACCCATGCAACCGGAATGGGAGACCTAGTGGCAGACAATTTGGGAGCTTTTCCCAGGAAAATCTGCTGGAGAGAGCTGGATGGTGGCAGTGAGGATTGCAGAGAGAACGCAGAGAGGGGCCCTGAGGCAGACTCCCAAGGAAGCAGAGGGGAGAGCCCACCCGAGCCTGGACGGGACTCCAGAGTCCGGCCACCAGGTCCTGAGATCTGGAGACCTAACTGCTAGGAAGGCAGCATTAGCTCTCCGCAGAGAAACTGAGCATACTCTCTAATGCCTGGGCAGAGAAGTGCTTCAGGGTGGCCTCTGCAAAATAGCAGAACAGCAGAACTGCATATTGAGACTAGGCTCTGATCTCTGCATTGCGCTGGGACTGCTCTCTGTGACCTCAGAGAACACTGTCCCCAGTGCACAAACCCTTGTGGGTAAAGGCAGATGTGAAACCCCAGACGACGCACCCTCCACCATGAGCCATCTGCTGGGTGACAGACACAGACAGCAGAACTGACCAAGAAGGAGGCTGGTGGCAGTATTGTTCGTTCACCTCGTTTGGCTTTTTTTGTTGGTTGGTTTTCTCTTTTCTTCCCTTCTTGTATTTCTCTTTCTTTGCTCTTTCTCTTTTTTGTGTGTTTTTCTCTTTCTCTTTTACTATTTTTCTTTCTTCTTTTCCTTTCTCCTCATTTCTTTTTTTCCTCCTTCTCTCTCTTTTCCCTCTAATACACTGTCTTGGACTCAGGCGCTCCGCAAGCATACACTGTAAGGTTGTATTGTGCAGAGACAGAAAGCAAGAGCCAGTTGACCCACTCACCAGATAGCAAACATTACAACCTGGCAATAGGTTCTGAATACTTGCAGCCCCCCTCAGTCCCTAGTAAGTGCTCAAAATTGTAAAGAGAGAGCATAACACGCCACCCCCAGCCCTACTTCATAAAAGAACAAACCCAGAGCCCCAGCCGAAAGAAGGATAAAAGGCAGAGCAAATATCAGAAGTGACTGCTTCTCCATTATCCACTGAGAAACAGAATTAAACAAAAAGATAAGAGAACTGCTACAAATGAAGAAAAACCAAAAAAGGACTGCAGGTAACCAGAGACCCAGCAAAGAGTCAGTGCTAGAAAGAACAGCAACTGGAGCACAGTGACTATCTCTGAGAATGACAGTACACAGAAGATGCTTACGGAGATCAGAGAATCATTGGATAGAATGAATAAAAATCAAGAAATGCAAGGGCTAAAACTAAATGAAATTGCAACAGAGCTGAACTCAAGAAATCATACTTAGAAATAACAGAAATAAAGAACTCACCCAAGAAAAAAATGACAGACTGACAAGCATGGGAAGTCGAACTGACCAAGCAGAAGAAAGAATCTCAGAGATAGAAGACCAAAATATGGAATTAACCCAATCTGCTATGAATACAGGAAAAAAAAAAGAGAGAGAAATTTCAAGAGTTGTGCAATTTTATCAAGAAACCAAACCCATGTCTGATTGGAATACCTGAAATAGAAAGGGAAACAGAAAATACCCTGGGACAAATTTCATGAGATCATTCAAGAAAACATTCCTCATCTGGCCAGAGATACAACTATACAAGCCCAAGATATTCAGAGAATCCCTGAAAGACATCTTGTGAGAAGACCAAGCCCTAGACACATAGAAATGAGCCTAAAAGTAGGTTTAAAAGAAAAAAACCTAAAGGCAGCAAGGGCAAAAGGTCAGACTATCTACCAGGGGAGACCGATCAAAATTGCTACAAACTTATCTGCAGAAATACTACAGAAGGAACTGGATACCAATTTTTAATGTCCTCAGAGATAAACTATTTCAGCCAAAAATTTCCTACCCAGCCAGGCTAAGCTTCAACAGCAAGGGAGAATTAAAATCCTTCCCAGACATCCAATCCCTAAGAGAATATGCTGCTTTGAAACCAGCTCTATAGGAGATGCTTAAAAAGGTGCTGTGTACATAAGAAAAAAGAAACAAAAGAAAGACCATATACTTCACAAGACCACAAACAAGCACAGAAACAGAAAAAACTGCATACCCACAA